ACAAAGATACCGGGAACAATACCTAGTCCTTATTGAAACAAGTTAATATAATGTTCTCTAACTATGTACAGTAAAAGCATTTTGACTTCATTTTCTCGTGTGTGACCTGACCGGTTTGTTTCAGATTCAGTTCACTAACATGGGAGGAATTCAGACAGCTGTTCTTGCAGCATTAGCTCGAATCATATGAGTTTCATTATGTGCGCATCATTATGTGTGCACCATCATGGTCTGAGGGTGAGGAGAGAAGTGTGTGTGTGTGTGTGTGTGTGTGTGTGTGTGTGTGTGTGTGTGTGTGTGTGTGTGTGTGTGTGTGTGTGTGTGTGTGTGTGTGTGTGTGTGTGTGTGTGTGTGTGTGTGTGTGTGTGTGTGTGTGTGTGTGTGTGTGTGTGTGTGTGTGTGTGTGTGAGCTCAGGCATGCAGTACAAGTAAGCACCTGATGTGGATATAGACACGTAGTCTTGCATTAACAAGTGACCTGAGATGACCTATAATTCCGTATAAAGAGCAGCAATAGGAATTCAGTGTGTGTGTGTGTGTGTGTGTGTGTGTGTGTGTGTGTGTGTGTGTGTGTGTGTGTGTGTGTGTGTGTGTGTGTGTGTGTGTGTGTGTGTGTGTGTGTGTGTGTGTGTGTGTGTGTGTGTGTGTGTGTGTAGAGAGGCATGTGATAGGAATTTGCCTAGGTGGATTTTTTTCTGTAGTAGGATGTTAACCAGCAAACCAAAGTGGATTGGTTAAAAGATAAATAAAGTTGTGTGATTGTACTTTAGTTGCACATCATGCTGCCACTTATTGTACAAGGACATTTAGTTATCTGTGTATAAACTCTCCATAAACACAATCATTTAAGAAGAAATAAGAATGTTCTCCTATAGTGAAGAATTGTTTTGCTTTGTATTTATCCCTTAATTAGGTCATTATTAACTTATACAGTAATTTCAAATTTCTAGAAAAATACCAAATATGAGTGGATTTATTTTTGGAGAGTTACTTTAGGTCGAGAAATCTGTTAAAACCTCATATTCAAGAGATGTTTGCTGAAATGTAATATACAGTAAGATATACAGTACAGAGACATTGAGGAATATGCAGATTTGAGCAATCGTAAAGAAAATTGAGGGGAACAACACAAAGAGAAAAGTCTTTGTAAAGGAACTCATTCATGTACAGAAATGGCTTGATTCTGGATATTGAGTTAGGGTCAGATGAAAGCCGGTGCAGCAGGACGCCGGCTGTCCAAATAGGATTAATGCTCTGAGCTTTGTGTAACACATCACATCTTTAGAGGGTGACGATTAGAGCGAGAGGAAGAAAGACATGCCAAGTCTTCCCAGGTTTAATTCTCATCATCCAGTGTTCTCCTCAGTGTGGTCAAATGGAGGACAGATAATACATTCCATAAGCTTTTTAATCTGGCTTTGTTATGTGTCCGCTGAAAGTTACACAAGTGGGATCTGTGTTGGCTTTGTTTCTCAAAGGATAGAGTGAGGACTAGTTACAACCTTGGCAATAAAACAAGGAAATCTGGATGCAGGAAGTGAAAGAAAGCACAGTCCTTTCCTCAAAGCCTCGCTGCCTTTGACCACATCTGGTCATATTTTTATCCAAAATGCCATACACTGTATTTTTAGCTTCACCGCAATGGAAATGGAACCCCTAGCTCTTCCTTTATCCTACTGTGGCAACTCAGGAAGTATAGTTGAACAGAAATATATAAATAAATAGTTTGCCTACTTAAATATGCATCCAATTTCATTTTAAAACATTTCTTGAATGATCATTAAATCTCCCATCATTCACTTGCAGCCAGTAATAGTTTTTTAATTAGCAAATTTGGCAAGAAAACAGCTTTCAAGCTAAAAACTCCACGCATCAATCATCCATCTAGTGTTGGTGCATGATATTGTAGGTAACTGTTGGGGATGTGTATGCTTAATTTAATGCTATAAATAACCAAATAAGCTCCCATGTACACTATTGTTTGTGCATGTATGGCATTTAAGCTACATTTGTATACTTTTGGAGCAGCTTTCAGGGTTCAGACTCTGCTTTTGTGTCTGTTTTCAGTTTTTTATTCTACCCCGTATTAGTTTGGGATATTACATTACATGTCACTTGTTAGACACTTTTATCCAAAGCGACTTGAATACATTCGGTACTGTGGGCAATCCCCACAGGAGCAACTTGGGGCGAAGTGTCTTGCCCAGGGACACAACGACATGCTGACTGCAGTGGGACTCGAACTTGATATCCCCTGATTCAAAGATCAGCGCACTAACCCACTGAGCCACAGCCTCACAGATATGGGTGTTAAAGTAATAAAAAGTAATGATTATAATACACAGCTAGACAACAGTAAAAGTAGGCTTTGATAACCAGAATGCCTAAGAGTTGTTCTCCCTTTTTTAAGAGCAACTGTTTCAGACAATAGGTTTTGCTCAGCTGGAGTTCTGTATTATATCCTCACGCAAGATGTACTGCCCGGCTGGAGAGTCTTTTACACTTTCTTGTGTTGATTAAATCGGCACCCGGCAATTTTACAGTTCCCTCCATTAAATTAGAAGAATTGAAAGGATTGTATTCTCTGAACAACGTGCTGTCTGTAGTCTAAATGTGTTTTCATCTGTCTCTACTGTACGTGTTAATATTTGACATAATTGACTCAATCACAACGGTTGCTGTCATCAAAGAAACAGACCTGTATCACAAGGGAAAAAAGCTCATTTGTGCAACTTTAATATTTCAGTTTGGGATTATATAGATTCTGTTTTGACTCCCTTTCTTCCAGAGGAGGCTCTGCAGAGACAGGAGAGGATCTGGCAGCGGGAGGTGGAGGAGTCTCTCTCATCCTGCAGGTCTCTCTCTCATCCCTTCAGACCCAAACACATCGACTTCCTGCGCATCACCGCCGCTGAAGACGACATCTTTGATTCACGCCCATCCTCGCCTCTCCCCCCGGAGCTCAGGGTGGGTAGCTTTAAAGACGTGATGTGTAACAGATTACCTTACCTTGAGTGAAAATAGTCTACTAATGGCTGTGTTATCTGCACTGCAAACAAAGGCAGCGATCATAGTCAAAAAGTCCCTAAAAAACTCATCATGTATTATAATTATAACTCTAGTGACAATAAAGCTGCAGCAATCATGACATTAACCTACATGGTCTATGTCTATTCTATTATATGTCTATTCTACATATGATATTCTACAGTGCCTAACAGTCTTTTAAATCAAGTTTTAGCAAACACCTCATACAGCAGTGTGTGTGTGTGTGTGTGTGTGTGTGTGTGTGTGTGTGTGTGTGTGTGTGTGTGTGTGTCNGGAGACGCCATGTTTTCTAAAAATGAGTCCAAGGGGGAGAAGGTATTAATAAAATGGGCCCCAAAATAGAACCTTGGGGAACTCCACAGGATAGGGGGGCAGAAGACGATGCAAAGTCACCAAGCCTAACAGAGAAGGATCTCTTGGACAAATAGGACCTGAACCACTCTAAGGCAGTGCCCCTGATACCCACAAGCTTGTAAAGGTTTTTCTTTACTGTCATTTCAGATTTGTTACTAATAATGTTTAGAGCATAGGGCTGTAAAAAAACAAGGGAGCTATAAAATGACTTAGCAAATTAAGTTAAGGATCAATAAACTGTATTTAGCAGCTTTATTCATTAAACGTGTCTGTACATGTCTGTGCATCTTTTAAACATGGAAGTGTGTATGAGGGGATATCACATGTATGTTGGGTTCTTTTTTTTAAATATTGTATTATTCCTGAACAACCCAGCTGTTCTTCAACCCCCTCCATGGCAGCCAAGGCTGAATTAGTGGATTGTTTACTCCTTGGGCTGATGCTATTTGGTGTGTAAACATCTGCAGTAGGCTGTTCTGTGATGAGCGCCGCATCGTCAGAGATGCTCTGACCCAGTTCCTCTCCCTCTCAGTGTCACATCTAGGATTTTAATAGCTGATGTCGTGGATTAGAGATTTCGTTTTCCAGGTTTGCTTTTTAATATCAGTCATTTTGGTGAATCAAATGTATGAATGTATGTGTTTTCATTGCTGCTTATACATTGGTGTGCGGGTCAGTTTTAAGAGAAAGACTATTTTCCTGGTACTAGTCAGCAGCAGTATCTCTGTTGCCGGCATCTTCCAGCTGCATCTGTGGAAATCTCTACCTCTCAGAGTCTATTAAAAGCACCAATCTGCAACACTGCATCAGCTGTTCATATATATTAAAGGGGACCTATCATGCAAAATGCACTTTTGTATGTCTTTTATATATGAATTATGTGTCCCCGGTGTGTCAGGGAACTCACCAAGTGCCAGAAAACACAACCGTCTCTCTTTTCCTCCATACCCAAATCTTTAAAAACGGGGCTGGAACGGATCTTATACAGATTTGAAAATAGTCTGACGTCAGTGACGAGGAGCCCCGCCTATATGTGCAACTCTCCACCAATCAGGGGAATGAGAGGTTGCTGTGGCATGGTAACAGCATGGTAACATGACGCTCGTAACTCGGCCCCCTCCTTTGCAGGGGGGCGTGGTCAGCTGCAGCACATGCAAAGACAGGGTGGAGGAGAGGAAAATAGAGCAGAATGAGGCATGGCTAAAATGCATGATCTGTTTGGTATTTTGAAAAGAAAACGTATAAATATAACTTATATACTGTAGGTATGGCCTACAATATATTATTCAAATATAGCATGATAGGTCTCCTTTAAAGTAAATTAACTTTGTGCTCATTTTTTTAAGAAAAGAAAATGCCCTAAACAAGAGTCCTTATATATATGGAACCTTGAGATTCACTTATTAGCACATTAGTATATACAATGTACTGATTCCTGCAAAATGTTGAATTATACCAACAAACATTTGCATTAATTACACAACGCTTCAGCTCAACAAATAAAGCAATATGTATTGTGTTTTATTCTTATTGTGTGATGTAGACTACAATACAACCTTTTTCGATTGAATAATTCCATCTTGTTTTGCTCCCTGCAGGAGTGACCACTGTCCTGACCATGACCACTCTCAGTATCAGCGCCAGGAACTCCCTCCCTAAAGTGGCCTATGCCACAGCTATGGACTGGTTCATCGCTGTGTGCTACGCCTTTGTCTTCTCGGCTCTCATTGAGTTTGCCACAGTCAACTACTTCACCAAGAGGGGTTATGCCTGGGATGGAAAAAGTGTGGTGCCAGAGAAGGTAATTGAAGACATTTGTTATGTTACTTACATTCCTCAATAATTCACTTGGAACACATTGAGATTGAGAGTCCATAGAAGATTTGACAAATATGGTTCGTCAGGCAATCATTTGGCAATTGACATTAATTATCACTATTTCTACGGATACAGTGAGTGCCCTTGTTTTTAACCAAAAAAATAAATAAAAAAATTACGTCAAGCTAAATTAAGGGGGAATCCTACAAACTAAAATATGATTCGATGTATGGACTTCTGCCTCAAAGAGTAATTCCTTTTTTGCACCAAGACAGTAAGCACTTAACTGTTGAGGGAGCATGGCCAGGTGGAGAACATTTAGTTGTTGTCGCCAGCTCATCTCATAGAAAGTGCCATTTGAATAACATGACGTGAACATTAATAGTTTAGTGTTCATCTTGTGATTTCTGCTCCACTTGTCCCTATAATTCAGTAAGCAGCACTGCACCCTGTAATCTCCAGCAGCGTTTCAAAGAAAAGGAAACAGAGCCTATTATTAATTATGGGTTTGATTGTTCTACTTCGGAATATGTAGTTTTAAATAATTATTATTTCTCAATTTACACAATATCCATATTTTTACAGAATATTCACCAGGCTGCTACATTGCCCATTAATACCAGTAATTGTGCAAAATGGTCTGTATTACATACATGTTTCAAGAATCTGAACCGTATCCTCTTTACTTTTTCTAACCCTTTCCCCAACAAACAAAATCAGCAAAAGAAGAAGAAGGAGTCCCTCCTCAAGAAAAACAACACCACAGCCTACCCAGCTGCCACTGCTACAGCCTTCGCCCCCAATATTGCCAGGGACCCTGGATTGGCCACTATTGCCAAAAGCGCCCCCCCACTCCCCTCTGAGCCCAAGGAGGAGCCAAAGCCCAAACCTCCAGAGGCAAAGAAGACCTTTAACAGTGTGAGCAAGATAGACAGGATTGCCAGAATAGCCTTCCCATTGCTCTTTGGAACCTTTAACTTGGTCTACTGGGCAACTTACTTGAATAAGAACCCCAAATTAACGGGGATGGGTCACTAATCCATGTTTCATTCATTTAAAATTATACCTGTGATTTTCTTTTTAGTTTTCTTTCTTATTCTTCCTTAAACAGGTGTTTATTTACATTTTCAGACAAACATGGTGTCCATGCTGGTTTGAATTCCCAGTTGTTGCATTGCTTAAATGTTTACCTAAAGTTTGAAGATTTTGAAAAAACTAAATAGAGAAAAAAAGAAAGATAACTTTACAGACTTTTGAAAGGGTGTTGATCAGGTCTCGGATGATGCTACTAAGAAAATGCTACTATAAATATATAGCCAAGAGAATGCTACTCTACAACTGCACATGGCCCACACTTGTTAAGGGGCTTTTGTTTCAAGTTTATTATTCTTATTTAATTTTTCTATTTTATTTAAACATTGAATCACAGACACATTAAAAGGCACTTGTGTATATGCATGGGCAGGGCATCTTTTAATTTATCTTTATTTATTAAAATACAGATCAACTTCGACTGATAGCTTAGTTTATTTGATATCAACTGCAAAAATGCTACACTCACTCTCTGTCAAAATATCTTCAATTCTCTGTAGATGTTTTATGAGATTAATTATGTCATTCTTCAAAATATGTTAGGGGTTTCTGCAATAGCAATAACACATGTCTCAGTGGACACACCATTTATTTAGGGACAAAGAATACAAAATCCAATCCTCTCTGTGTTCAGCATTGAAAATATTATGAATTTCCTTTCACGGCGTTGTAAATATTATCAAGTGTTAGAGATGTCAATATTATGTTTAAGCTTTGCAAAGTGTAACTAGAGGGTATGTTTATTGAATACACGGAAAAAGTAATTTTTTTATTTAATTTATTTTTGTTTCTGTTTATAATTTATACAAAAAGAGTATAATCTTGTCTAATTCACGCTTAAGTGACTGTTTCTCGCCAAGTTTGCGTTCCATTCAAGCTGCTTTCACACTGAAGTAAAATACTATTAAACTGTGTGTGTGTGTGTGTGTGTGTACACACTGACGGCAACAACAGCAACAACAACATTAATGGTGTAATCTGAGATTGGCTAGTTATGAAAATGTAAACATCATCTCAAATCCTGGAGTGCATTTGACATTTAGAATTAAAATATTAATTATGTACTTCTTTTGTTTGATTTATTTATGGTGGAAAACGCCATTTTTAACAAAGTACAGTTGGCATTGCTTAAAGATGGGCGGGGCACATTGAGAAGGAGAAGTGCCTTTTTTATTTTCAGAGTTGAAGCTGTGATGGCTACTACTTTGTTGATGGATGGCACGTCTGCATTTTCCATCCCACTGTGTCCCCTGACCCTGACTCCCATAGTCCCCCTCTCCTTTCAGTTGAAAATTGAGACATAACACTCAGAAAGTACCAGCTACACTGCCTTCAGTATCACATGCCCGTTTGGACTCATTTGTTGCTGCTTGTTGGTGAGCAACAGCGAGAGACAGGGACAGAGACAGAGAGAGACAAAGAGAGAAAGGAGACATTGAGTTGAAGTGGCACTGTAATCTTGCTTTAGCCGGCGCTGTGATTCGCACAGAGGACTTGTCTAGTAGTTCCACGATAGTGACGAAGATGAATATATTTTTGTAGCATGATGTCAATCCCTCTTCCGAAAAAAACCAACAGAAACTAACGCAAATGTGAAAAGAATGCTTATTGTTTTGGTCTTGAACATTGCTTGCTCTTTTTTCTTTTAGCTTAAAAAAACACACATTTTAAGGACATGCTTCTTCTCTGATGTGGCACGTCGAGGTTTCTGAACGGCCCATTTTAAATTATGTTAATGTAGCAATATTAATTAGCAAGGGCTTTTCTTAGGACCTGAACCTGACACTCAGTCTGGGGCTAATATCCATTGTAGCTTTACATTGACCCCTAACCACCTATTTCTTTTTCGATATACATGAAAATCTAGGAAATGTTTAAATCTGGCAAAAGATAACAGGAATCAAATTGTGTGTTCATCTTCGGTTCTGGAGCCTTTGGCTAACACTCTAACCTTTGTTCACAAAATCTCCACATTTCTTGTCGGGGAGTGGGGGTGCATTGTATTGCATTATGGGTTTTGGGTGTGCTTTTGAGAACATGTTTTACAGGGCACTGAACAGGCTAGAGGGCATGTACGCACCCCGCAGAATTATCTGTGTGTTTGTACGCTGGGGTGAAAATATCACACTATCGCCAGAGGAAAACTAAAAATATATAGTTGGTTGTCGCTATTGTTGTTATTTGTTTTTATTTCATTATGACCAATGCTGAACCTATCACCTAATGGCAGACTTGTTTGCAGCCATATGCAAGCGGTCTACTGTTAAGAGCCACTTAACCTACAAGCAGAGGGTCGAGGAACTGCAAAGTCTAGGGTGAAGAGTTGTATAAAGATATTTGAATTCTAAACTATTGTATGTATGTTTATTATCATGAAGAAAAAATATATATACATATGTAAAATACATAATGCATACAGTATTTGATTATATTAATGAAGATATTAGCTAAGATGATGATGAATATTGTTTGTATTATCAACTTATTGTTATGCATTTTGCACATTTAGAAGAACAATAACATTACATTTATGTAGTCAGCTTCGTGCTATGCAAGGACAGCTTTGAACCACATCATTGACCTTCTCTCCCGACCATTGTGTTTCAGATTTACAAGCTATTATAAAAAAAAAAAATGAAAAAAGCTTAGCTTTTATGTCAGCTGTGCACCCACTTGCTTTTTTTTTCTTTCAACCATGGCTAAACAGGGTGACTTCAAAGAAAACAGTGGATTATCTCTTTTGTTTGCGCTTTGGATTTGTCGGTGGTTGAAGGGAAAATGGCTTTCATTGTTGATTGCACTTTTTCTCAAGAAACATGCAATAAAGTGATTGAACTGAAGAACCAGGAGCAAAACTGTAACAAGATCACCTTGTTGATAACATTTATGTTCATTTTTTGAGCTTGTTTGTCATTGTAAAAATGGAAGCAGGTGAAAACTTGACTTTGCTAAATGGATTGTTATGTTTATCTTTTGCTTTCCAAAGCTAAATGATATTACAGGGAGCACCAGAGAGTGTTGACTTTGACAAAGTACATTTTGTTAACTTTTCTGTTCAGAATAGCTTTGCCAAGTCCTTTTCTTGTACTCAAAGCAGGATCAAACAAGTGTTGTAGACCATAATACAAATATTTTTGAGCCAGGTCTGATTTTGCTACATTTGATGCTCCAGAGAGAGAATGTGAAATGTGAGGCACAGTGCAATCATGAGCTTCCAACGTTTACCTTCACACTCATATGCAGAGCAAACATGTACATATCACATTTGTAGGCACATCAGTCATTTGTTTCATTATGTTTGATGCAAGGTCCATTGCAGTTCTCAGCAGCACTTGCTTTTAAACATTCAGTCTTTGGTTATTCCTAGATACCTACTGGAGTTTTTCCTTGTATTTTTATCAAGCAAAATATGTTCTGATTTTCACTGAAATGTAAAAAAAAAAAAACGAATTTTCTAAAGCACAAAAGTTGATTAGGGTAAGAGAAATTAGATCGATACTGTATACATATGGACATCGACAAAGACACGCTTTCAAAATGCACACAAACACACACGAGCAGTACACAGGAATGTGTTGGTAGTCCAATGATACTGACAAAGGGTTCTGATTGGTGTAGATGAAACGGTAAACCTTCTGTAAATGTTTTCTTTTGGTTATGATATGGCCCTGTAGAATCTGATTCTCTGCATTAGTCTTTAAATAAAAAGAAAACAAATGAAAGTTGTGGCTATATCTCTGTCCTTGTGCTATGAATTACCACACAACAATTGACACACTGAATACAAATGTACTTGCACTGTTAACATCAATGTATTAAAAATAGAATATGTGGCATAGTTTTCTAAAGACTTCAGACTGAGTCACTTTAAACACAGTTTAATTTGCTGAAAATGGCTAGATTAAGTAATATAAAAAAGGCTCTAGTGTCAGTCGGACATTCAGTCTACTATTTTCTCAACAATGGATAGCCATTACATTTTGTGACATTTGGTAGCCCGAGGATTAGTCCCTCTGACTTTGGTCGTCCCCTTGACTTTAACCCAAGCCTGAAAAACATCTTACCCTACCAGAAACATTGACACACAATCCGGTACAAACATCTATGGTTCCCAGACTGTATCCCTGTGACTCAGCTGATCTGCTGGCTTTTCCTGTAGCAACACCACAGGTCCAAGATTTCACATAACATATAAATAACATTTTAGCGTCCACTTGTTTCTATGAAATCAGATAATTGTTTGATGCCTTCAATACTTTGGTTTACAACAAATAATTGCATGATTCAATACACATGATAAACATTGTACGTGCTTAACATCAGCATGTTAGCATGAATCATTGTTATTATTATTATTATTATTATTATTATTACATTAGCGGTAGTAGGCAGTTTGAATTGGATGATGCCTGTCTTCAAGCTTCCAAAAATGGCAGTCCAATCGTCTCTAAGACGACATTTGTATTTTGGTCCTCGTAGCTTTTCCCCTCACTCTTGTTCTTCCACCTCTGCACTCAAGCCTCCCCCCTCATCTTCTCCCACCCTGCCATGAGATTTCAGGTGCAGGGGAACGTGTGCTTCTTCCTGAAACGCATGTGAGCTGCCAAGCCCTGAGACCGTTATGTAATAAAGCTGCTTCTTGCCGGCAGAAGAGCAGAGGCTTTTTCTCTTTCCCTCTGCCTGGTTCTCCTCCTCCTCCTCCCTCTCTCTCTCTCTATGTCTGTCACTTTTTCCCTCAAAGGCACAGCTTTCAGTTGCACTTTTTCATCAACTCTTTATCTTTTGATTTAGAATGAGTTTATGAGGAGTCATGTCGTGTCATTTTCGAGAGAATCAATTTCTGTTTACTATATTAACATTAACTCTGAAAGGAAAGGATGTTTGAGAGTTACTTCGAATAAGAAATTTTTTATTAGTGTATTCGACAAGGAATTTTCTTAATGTACGGCAAAATAAGACGAAACTGAGTGGCGTCAGTGTTATCCAGGGTTATAGGTGACTCACGCGAACTTGACCTAATACAACACAATTTTACCAACCTGTGACCATACGTAAAACGACGACTAATGGATAAAAAATACGTTTTACAACTGTCGACGTTCGAGGACACATGTTACTTCCCTAACCAACCGCACGGTAAGTCAAAAACGTTCTTGTGCTAAGTGAACTAAGAAACTGTCTGACAAGTTACGTGTGATTTACCGAAGATCACCTTGCTCCTCTGTTCCTTTTCCTGATGAAAAAAGTTTCCTCTTTACTATAAAGAATAGTCACTGCTACCAATAACAGTTATACGTAAATGTTTCATCTAGTCTCTTTTTTGTGTCATATACGAATGACTCTTTGTTAACCGTATGTTAACAGGTCGGACGCGGATATGACTCTTCTGTAGAGGGGTATCGGGGG